TCCCACCCCACTTCCACCCCACTCCCACTCCCACCCCATCCCCATCCCACCCCATCCCACCGCCACAGACGCGGCATTATCCTCCTCAGACAGTCTGGAGTCCTCTCCCGAGTATCAGAAGTTCAAACGCACCCACTCACTCATCGCCATGGAGGCTGAGCTCACCCAACTGCGCACAGAAGTCAAAGTGCTGCGAGACAAGACACTCAACACCAGCCTCAACGAGTCCTTCGACGACTCCGCTCTGCGTGATGAGATGGATAGCATGCGCACCGAAATGTAGGACCGCGTGTGTTGCATTATGTTGTGTTGTGTTGTGTTGGGTGTCTGGCCTATTGGGACATGTGTATGGTGTATGTTTCACGTAGGGGTCAATGGTGGACAATTAACAGATACGTACTTGGTGTGTGCCTGGCCCGACGTGTGCATGATGTATGTTCCACGTAGGTATCAATAGTGGACAATTATCAGGCATGCAGCTAGGATGTGTTTCTACCCTATCGGGGCGTGTGTATGTTGTATGTTTACGCAGGTGTCAATAGTAGACAATCAACCGACACATACATGGATTGTGTATCTGGCCTATAGGGACGGGATGAAGCAGCAAATGTGGGCAGTCGAGGCAAAGGCGCTAGAGAGCGACAACCGACTGGCCGAAGTCACAAAAGAGAACGAACGTCTACAGAGTGCACTGGATAGGGTCACTTCTGAGTATGAGATGGTGCGTGTAAATGACTGTAAATGAGTACGAGAAGGTGCGTGTAAATGAGTTTAAATGAATATGAGAAGGTGAGTGTAGAGTATGAGAAGATGAGTGTATATGGGTGTAAATGCATGCATAAACATGCTTGACGCACGAGAGGGTTGGCCTAGTCGCATGTGTATACAGTGTGAGAGGGTGGGTGTTTACGCATGTGTATACAGTGTGAGAGGGTGCGTGTTTACGCATGTGTATACAGTGTGAGAGGGTGGGTGTTTACGCATGTGTGGTTATGTATTAAGTGTGAGCAGGCCAGTGTGAGCAGGCCAGTGTGTGTGTACGAGGTTGATTCATGCTGTAGTGCATGGGTGGACTTGTACAACTGTTGAGTATGAAAAGTTAGGTGCATGTGTGATTATGTATTATGGTCAGTGTGTTTGTACGAGGTTTGTTCATACTGTAGTGCATGGGTGGACTTAAATAACTGTCGAGTGTGAAAGGTTAAGTGCACGTGTTTGTTTTTTGTTGTAAATCTTTAGTGCTCTATATGTATACCTCCGGTGGAGTCGTAAGCGAAAGTTAGTTGGTGTGTGTGAGATGGTTGGTGTTCCGGTGTATGTGTGCCTGTATACTATACCATCTTGGTCCATGTGCATGCGGGCGCAAACTGGAGTATGTACACGTGCTAGTTAGCTAGACAAATATGTACTGAATAAGCTAAAGTTTGGGACTTGAATTCCAAAATAAGGTTGGCGCTGGAGCCAGTAAATTGGATCGTATGGAGAAGGACATACTGCACTACAAGCGCAAACTCGAGAAGGTGAAGACGCTCGAGACAAAACTAGTGGACCTCGAGGAGTCGAATAAGGTATATATATATTTATATATGGGAGATTATGTATAAATATAGGATTTTTTTTTCCATATATATATACGTATGCGAATAAGGCGTATATATGTCATTCTATATAATATCGGTACTCAGTAGTCGCTGGGCTATATACATTCACAGGTACAAATTCATAATTCTGCACCAAAACAGGCACCAGCAACCATTCATCCCACTCAAGATTGTGTGGTATACCTCGCACCAGCTGCCACTTTGTACTAACGAGTTCGCTTACCAAAACCTGTTCTGCATCCAATATCGGACAAATGAATCCCCCCGAAAAAGGGTCCGTCATGGTTGGGTTTAGAGTTTATGTCGGTCACACTTCTTTCGGTTAAGCACAGAGAGTGTGTTTGGTATTGTGCAGTTTTTAACTTTTTAGTCTTAATTGTAAGCGATCCAATCAACAGATTCTGTTGAGTATACGCATGTGTATGTACATGTGCTTGCAGTCACTAATCCCTACACAAAGCCGCAAGAAAAGTGTATATTTTGTATACAGGTTGACGGGTAAATACATGCGCCTTAGAAGCACAAACACTGAATGACACATACAGAGACATATTACACAAACATCAGTGCTCAACAGAATAGACGATAATATATATGTATATAT